AAGATATGTGTCGTGCTTCAATAAGCTCCGCAGCAGTATCGTTTTCTGGGCCAATGACGGCAAGAACTTACTGAAATAGTTTGCGATGCCCAGCATTTTTTTTTTAACTGCATGTTTGTCCTTTGGTTCTGGTATTTGCGTCATGCACTGCTCGGTCTGATGCCCTCAGGACTACTTACGTCACCTAAAAAAACTATTTCCTTGACACTAACTGCACACTTTGTCGCGTTAAAAGTTGGTCCAGCTCGCTCTGCTGTTTGCAAGGCAGATTTGAATCATTGATAGTGCTCCTTTCTTGACAAGCCCCAGATTACTACGTCGTTAACGTATGTCTTTACACTTGGCACATTGTAAAACACTTCATTCAACGTTTTGTGGAAAACCTCCGATGTCTAAATGTATAGCCTCAAGAAGCGGTATCGCCCAAAAGGCGTTGAAAACGTGCAAATTTTTGAAGTTTCTTCGTCCGATGGTATCTGGTCGAAACCAGTGTTAGCATCGAGGTGATTGAACACTTTTGCGCCGGCTAGCTCCACCTCGGCATTCGATAGTGCTCCCTTTTTATGCATTCGTTAATCTTCCTCGGATCTATGTATACTCGAAGGCTTCCATCCTTCTTACGTACTATTACGAGAGGACTCGCCCAATCCGTAAGCTCGGTCCCCCTCGCAATGGTGCCGCCTCGTTGCATACGTTCCAGTTGTTCGCGCGGTGTTTCTCGCAAGCCTAGTGGAACCCGCCGTGCTGGCTGGACCACAGGAACAGCGTCGTCACGTAGTACCAAGAGGCATCTCTCCTATCCCCTCAGTTTGTGGTCGCTCCTTCTGGCTTACCACATCACGTCTCTTCCTCTTTTCTACACCTTTACTCCTACCCATTTTATCCCTCCTCACCCCCATCCCTTGTGAGCTACTGTTGAGGTGTCGCTCACTGAAGCAGACGGTTACGGGGCTAACTTTTCTCTTCCTTTCGCTCTTAAAAATCACCCTCCGGCACTTGACGCATCCCGTGCCACTGAAAAAGTGCCGAAATCCCCCACTACACCTTTCGCCGGACTTTTTTTACCCGCTGTGCACTGTGCGTAAAAGCAGCTGAAGGTATTCACAAGCTTGCCAAAATTGTTTGACCTTTACGTATACGATGAAAAATTGGAGGAGTGCGGTGTGTCCATTGAGTGTCACATCAGGGATGATGGTGCCGCAGTGTTTTATTTAATTGCCACCGTAGGAACGTAGATTTGAGCAGTTGGACTTTATCGATGGTTTTGGCTGCATCCTAATGATGAAACACAGGGGAATAATGTTTGCTTGGGAGCCGGTGTCTGCTTTTAAAGCTTACCGATATGTTCCCAACGTTCGCGCGAACAAGCCAGTCCCGGCCACTGACCTTGCTTCTCAAAGACACATTGAGCACGTCACAGCATTTTGCATCGCCAGTGAGCTCGTTAACTTGACTTACTACTTTGCAGCGAATTGCAAAGTGGCTCTTCCGCTGCCAGTTGTGGCAAGTATGCCCGAATGCAGGACACTTTCTTGGCGCGCGTGTTCACGCGCATCTGGGACATATGAAGTCGATGGCTTCATTGCGTCATTGTTTCCATGTTTCTCTTCGTGGTGGTGCCTTCCTGCGCAGAAAAGTTCCGACTAGGATCTACTTGATGGTCCCGTAGCCTTACTCCTTGCTGCGCTGATGCAGCCTCTGCGGCCTTCCAATTCTGTTCTACAGCGCGAGATTTGTGCTTCTCAGCGGCGTCTCTCGCAGTTTATTTTGCATTCCAAAAACAATCTGATCTCGGATCATTCAGTCTTGGAGGTCTTTAAAGTTACACAGACGAGCTTGTGTCTTCAAGTCTCGCACGAAGTGCTCAGAAGATTTGCCTGGCTCTTGCATTCGTTTCCTGAACAAGTAGCGTTCGTATGCTTCATTGCTCTGGCTCTTGCAATGTTCGTCAAACTTCTTAACTACCGTAGCGTAATCGGTGTTTAGTTCGCCTTCCGTAAAAAAACACAAAAAAACAAAGGTACTGAATACCTCTATGGCTTCCTCGCCTGCAGTTGTAAGCAGCAACGCACGTCTGCTCTGGTCGTGGTTGCTCGGATGGTTAGGTAGCCGTCAAAAAGAGCTCGAATTTCTGCTTGAACAATGACCAGCTCTCGCCTATGTCTTCTGTGAAGCGTACTGCATCTGGTGGTCGAACGAATTCCATCCCGACTCGCCGTCGGCGCCTACGTATTCGCCGAGATGGGTGCGTGGCACTTCTGACACCGCGTATCAATGACTTACTATACGCCGGGTGGCCGGTGGTGGAAAAGCCTGCTTTAGTGAACGTGAGTCGGTTATATGCGCTGAATGCGTGCGTATCATGTACATCTCTGAACAGTTCATACGCATATATCTTGCGCCATGAGCACCATACACCATGGAAGGCCATTGCAGCGACTTCGCCTTTCCTGATCATTTGTATTCGTTTATGAATGACTTTTCTGTGTATATGTATGTGCATGACGTGTTATTTGTGAGTATCTGTGATTACTGCATATATCAAAGTCAACGCCACCACGTGGAGTACCAAGCCAGGTTGACGAAACAAGCTAACATCTTCGAAGTACTCATCTAATATTGTGAACTTCTTCCAATTCATAATAGTAATAGTTGTTGTTTAACATCCCACAACCACCATTATTATTATTTGGTGTGTGTAGACAGAACGTACGAAGACACAGAGGAAATAAAGAGAAAACAGGCTGACAACTGCCAGCCATAGGGGCACAACGCCTGCCTGCTCTTTCGGGAAGGGGAGACATAGAGGAAGGGAAAACAGAGGGGAAGAAAAAAACAGAGAGAAAAGGAAAGTAAAAAAGTGGAAAACTCACACACACATAAACAGAAATAAAGTCGCACGAACGATGTCTATAAACGTGACGTAAAGTCCGTTTTCTTAAAGAAAGTTAAAACGGCTCGATGGGCTTGGTCACGCCTGCAAGCACATCCCCTTGGGAACAGTAAATCGTCAAGTGTCGTGCAGCTAAGATCAATCAGTCCAAACCACCATACGATTATGAATCACACACGCCGTCGTATATAGGGCTCTGAACATTTCGCACACCGGGGATTCTTTTGCGCACACCTTAATCTACACGTGCTTCGTGCATTTTCGCTTCCACCGAAAATGCGGTCGCCGCGACCGGCATTCGATCCCGGTCCATGACCTGCGAGTCAGCAGTTAAACGTCGTAACCAATAGACCATCTTGGTGGGTGATGCCGTTCATCTGACGCTCTGTGGCCAATTTAGCTATATAAGAATTGATGAATACACGTCGGTTGCCCCTGTGGCACAATTTCAAGGGATGTATAAAGAAGTCTCAGGCATGATATCGGGCACGAAGTTTGAATGAAACCTCGACAATTATGCACTGTATCTCCGGGTTGCTGCAGTGTAAAGGGGAAACCAGGCACTATTGAACCAGATGCGCTTCATATGCAAGAGCTTACAACTTTCACTTGTATGTTGGCGAAGTTCGATGAAATCGAGACCATATACACCTTTTCAGACGTAGACAATTTTTGAAAATCTTTGACTGACTGCTTTCTGCTCTCCCATAGTAGAGCACCAAGTGCTCCAAATCGTTAAACATTTTTTTTTCTAAACGCACCTCGACTCCCGCCGCGTCTAACAAAATCAACTCAAGTGGCAGCCCGCACAATTGGAGTTTGTTTGCCCGTTGCCATGGAGATGGCCGCTAGGAGAACGCAGCAACATAAAAGACCTCGCTTCCCTATGCGGACGCGCGATGTGTGATTCACTGTGATCGCCTTTGATGTTCGCCGGCACAAACGCTCTTACAGCTGCGAAAGCACAAATTAAGTTGCGTGCGTGCGCGTTTCTGGTTTGTTTGTCTATTACGGTGTGCAAGCTTTTTGTCAACTAGAAAAGACAGTGCGAGAATTCTGGATGCCAAGAGAAGGGAACGAACAACGCAAGTGCTATAGTACGGGAGCTCGTGATGTTGTTGACGACGCGTGGCACGATTGCGCCGCCTGAAGTGCTGCTTCCGTCCGCTGGATTTTGTGCAAACCACTGCCTTGACTACACTGTCACTGCCGTCAGCGTTTACACTGTGAGACAGTTGCATCACCGAGGTTAGACGATCAACGCAACAAATCCCAGGAAAAAGTATTGGAAACAAGCACTACGCGTGACACCAACCGCTTACGATTTATATCGCTGGCATTTCGAAGGTTGGCCGAACGGGCCAGATCTCGCTGCGATAACCACAAGCGAGAGGTATCGTCACTGCGGGTGCTAAGTTCGGCAGGTAACTTTAGAGTTCATAATTGGAAACCAGTTGATCGACTCTTACTGCTCGCTTTCGCATTCTTGGTGCTCGTTAGGTAGCACGTCATCACTGCTGTGATTGTGTTATGACGACGTTTTGACTTTGGCCTGCACTTGCTGTAGGATGGTCCCATGAGAGCGCGTTCGTGGCTTTTCTGTTTGCTGGTAACATTGATTGCCAGCGTTACCCTTTCAGGAAATGTGCAGGGCAGCCAATAAACCTTGTTAAACATCTCTTATTATTTTGATTAAGAGGCATCTATGGTAATTCGACAGAGTTCATTAAGTAAACAAGGAGTTTGAGGTGCGGGAAAAATGTCCCGCATGGGTGACGACCAAGAATTGAGTCCTGGTGACTTCCTCGGCCCACTGGACAACACCAATTTGGCCTTCAAGAACACAGCTTTGTAACACTTACCCGGTGCACGTGGAGGCGATCGCTAAAGGCTGCATCGCCAGTATTCTATGTCATCCCTCAACATTCCAATACGTGTTCCAGAGTGACTGCAGGACCATAGCCCTTGGATTCATTTGTCTTCTACATGTCGGGGTAAAATAAGGTGTCAGATCACCGCGTTTATATTGTGGTCTAACTACGAAATCTCGATCGGCACATTTCCATCGATATTTTTTGTTGTAGACACTGCCAGTACGTCAACCGACATGCGCGCCAACGCCCTCGTACCGGGACGTTTTCTGACCCTCTCCGCTCACGTGGTGCTACTAGTGACCCTCATCTGGGTCTATGACGAGAACGTTCGGGCCTGTCTGCCACGGGACTTCAGCCAAGCGCAGTACGCTGCCAAGAGCACAGAGATGATCGTCGGACTCTCGCTAGGACTGATCTTGGCCGTGTTCGAAATGGTCGGCTTCCTGACTGGAGTCTCCATGTTCTTCCCGTCTCAGGCCCTCATTTCGACGGTGGCCCACTGCGCGGCGACCGTGGCACTCGCATATTTCGTGGTCGACCTCTGGAACTGTTTCGCGTACTGGTGGATATTCGCACTCTGTAGCGTGTTGCCGGCGTTCACGGAGCTCTGTGTTATCATCGGAGTCGTGTGCCTCAAGAAGGTTCCCTAGCTGAAATGGCCGAGTCTTTCATTCGGGATTACAGGCTGACCTTCCTTCTTTGCTTTGTATGTACAGGTCACGCGTGTACAGGTGACGCGTGTCTTTGTACTTGTTGTTTTAATGTACAGATGAGCTAATTGGCGACCAATAATATTGGTGAAGCAGTGAACTAAAGACAGAACCACGCTGACAGAACGAACCATTCTAGAGGTCGAAGGACAAAGGAGAGGAGCGCCACACATAACGGCGGCTTGTTGTGTGTTACTTCTCTATTTTTTTTGTCTTTCGTAATCTGGTTCAGTTTTTAGCGTTATGTGCAAACTGAACCAGACTTTACCTTTACATAATCATACACACATAAAAAATGACGTTAACTCAAGCACTGGCACTTGTGTTAGCGCCATTTTTATGTGTAATGCTAACAGCAGCGCTTGTATTGGCATCTTAAGCATGCACGATTGTCTTTAGTGCGATGCTTTGTCAGTATCTTCTCTGTCTTACTAGTGTTCATGATTCGACAAATAGTGACAAAGCCGTCCAAGTCAAGCTTATACAAGCGCTACATAACGTTGGGTTAGACCATTCTTAACGTGTGACTCGGGGACAGATATATGATGTGTGGATATGCTGCTTACTTCGTGATTGAGTCGTTACGCTACACCATGTCATTTAAAGCAAATTAGGGATCTTCGCTTTCATCTAAGAAGCACAAATGTGTCTCTTGTCGGAGACTCGAGTGGTCCGAATGCAATCTATGTAAATTTGACAAATTAGAGCTTCGCTTTTTATTGGAATAAAGATATTCTTTTCTACGATTTTCATTGTGGCTTTCGAAAATGAGAAAATCCGAACCTGCACAAAAAAAAGAAAGAGAGAGAGAGAGAAACAAATTATGGTTCCCCGAAACTGCTCTATACAACTGAATGCGGTTCTCTAAATCACTTGAGATGTCTATCGCCGCCAAATGGCAGTCATATACACTTTGTAAGAGTTTCAAAAATTAGACGATGAAAACGTTTTGTGGTTCACGTAAACGATTAGACTATATGCAATGAATGAAAGTAGATAGATTTTATTTATAAGCGTTACTTACAGAAGACCATGTCAGCGACACAACCTCTTGCTAAGCGCCAAGTGACTGAGCGCTACTTCTAAAATGATCACCGAAATTGGAAATATTTCAGCCTGTAGGAAATTTACGACTGAAAATGTACAAAAAGTTACATAAGTTCTGCAAACACCACATTTTACTGTAACAGCAACAGGATATTTTTTTATAAACATTTTCTGTGTATTGGCATAAGGTTTGCATGACAAGCATTGGTATACCTATTGACTCGTGCTGTAGAACTCAGAACTCTATTATGCGAAAGTACTACGGAAATGCCGACGTTTAGCGATTACCGGACTGTGAGAGGAAGCACATAAATGTTGACTATGCCACAGGTTACGAGCAGTATGCCACTGCTACCAACACTGCAGGCTAATTAGCGTGTTACCTTCTTATAATGACCCATCATGAAAATTTCTTCGTCCCCCAACGGACTTTCTTAAAGTTGTGCGGTCTCTTGCACCAGTGAAATCACCGGTTATGACTCGCATCTGCCTCGACGATGAAATCTTCTATTTCAAGAGATATTTCAAAATGTAGAAAATGCCATCAGTGTTGACAAATCCGGCAAATTAATATGTACAGGGGCAACCAAAATTTAGCTGACTAGCTCCTTAGTGTTCAAGACAGTAAAACTTTTTAGAAGCGTGGCAGCTTGGGCTGGTTGGTATGGCATGACGATAGTTATATGCGCGAGAGCAAAACCATGACACAGAGACAAAAAGGACACGAAGGACACGAGCGATCCTTCGTGTCCTTCTTGTCTCTGCGTCATCGTTTTGTTTTCGCGCTGTAACTATAGTAAAACTGCGTTTATTCTACTTAATGAGCAAAACTAAACTTCGTTATGGAACTCTTAAATCACGGTGTATATAAATACGATATTATTTTACAAATCATCTCCGAGGCAACACTTTTATGACGTCTTGAATTTCAATGAGGGGTCTACACATGCGTATATTTATTTTTCTAGTTCGACAATTTGCTTACCAAACACACACAAAAAAAGAGGAAGGTGCAAGACATTCGCGTGAACAAAATATTTTCAAAGTGCAATACTTACCTCATGTGCAAATGAGTGCGCGCGCACACACACACACACACACACACACACACACACACACACACACACACACACACACACACACACACACACACACACACACACACACACACACACACACACACACACACACACACACACACACACACACGCCAGCCTAACAACAATGCTCCAACAAAAAACTTCATTCAGCATAGAGTACCAAAACATTTTTATTAACCGCCATATATATAATGGTGACTAGCGTCATCTACTATATACAGAACTTTCACTGGGCTGCACATCATGAAGTTTCGATTTGGTTCATTGTCAACTGCGCCAAGGCGCTGTAAATAAGACGCGCTCTCGCTTGCGAGGAAATTACATAAAGTGAGGGCCTTTCACACAAAATAGGCCTTTGTCCTAGAAAGTATATATGTGGCGTAATAACATCCTCGTTGTGACCCATGACTAGTCATCGTAGACCCGCGCACTGATAAGGATAAACGCGGATTTGCACTCACAATTGAGAATCCAAAGACCACAACAATGGCAATGTGCACTGTTATAAAGAAGAGATACGCTTCACCGTGTCCCATCTCAGATATGGGAACAAAAAAAATCAATGCTAACCGAAGTAATGCCCTTTTAGTATACAACGAGAATCGTACGGTGGCGTACGATTAGACGGTATACGTCACTACGGCACGACACAGTGTCGAAATTGCGAAGCGTGGCGGTACTTCAAAGGAATACGCGGCGATTACCTTTAAATTTTGAACTTCCCTGGATTCCGTGTTCTCAGCAGAAAAGCCGAGTACTTCGTAATATCTACACCGTGCAACTAGAATTCAAGACAGGGTTTTATATCCGACGTTGCGTAAGCATTTTTATCTCGCCAGGGTCGGCCATTAGCCAGTGTCAGCGGGGATGATGATAAATCAGCTTAAGTATCGAGTCCAACCATGCTGGTGGTGCACACAGGCACCAGACCGGGTGGTTCCTTGGTTCGGAAATCGGTAATGTACACTGTGCCACTTCGCGGCTCTCACTATTTTGCTAGCGTCACTACAGCCAGGTCCAGGGACGTTGGCAATGTGCTAGCAGTGACGTCATGTCGGACGCTGCCGCTCAAGTCACGTGACCCCAGGTGTTGAGGTACAAATGAAAGGTGTAAGTGGTGTATTAACATGAAAGGTTCCACCTGAAGTTTGCAACCTCGTTACCTCCTTCTGCATAACTACTTGTACTGTGTTCTTTTATTGTACTGCTAATAAAGCTTTATTTGATGATTGATTGTTTGATTGAAATGGACACTCACGGAATACGCAGATTGGTTGATTGATTCAAATAGACAGACTGATACAATCAGACTCGGAGCCATCTCGCTGGCCCTTCCCAATGTTCGTATTGGTATACATTGATTATGGAAGGAGCGAGCGGATATCTTGTTATCTTATACAGCCTTCGAGAGGTTCTGAATTTATATCAAGATCGTTTCAGCATGATAAAACCTGAGTTGCAGCCATCTGCCGAACCAGCTTTGAGCGTAGAAAGTGAGAAAGGCTGAATACCTTCGATATCAGCACGTCATCAACGTGTTGACGACGCGTCGCATCACCACGCATCGCAATTCGGTAACTGCGATCGCTTTGCGATATTTCGCTTTTGTCACCGGTGCAATGCTAAAACAAATCAACAACTGTTTGCACGCACTTGTCGGAAGAAAAATAATTAAATATCGAGTGTGTCGGGCACTGATGTTACAAAGGAAGAAATGATATAAGTGCCTGGGAATCGATGTTGTCAGGTACTGGATTACGCAAATAAAAAAAAAAACAAGAACAGCACGCACTTTGAAGGAAGCTTTGGTTCATGGCGATCTTCGCGAGGTTCCCCATTCAAATACACGATTATTGAAAAATTTGTAGGAAACTGACTGTAAGAATTGGGAGGAAGTTGATTTCTATCGACTGCTGTAAGCTGTATCGAGAAGGGTGTCAAATGACCCAAAGAAAATGCGGATAACGGACAAAACTGGAGAAGTGGGCAGCTGTCGTAGGTTAAAAGCGGGCATCGCGATTCTAAACCTGTGTACGTTAGTGTGTTCAATGGCGAAATATGGCTAAGTTTAGTGCTAGCATAAATAAGTTACAAATATTATCAGATAGGCAGACTCTGTACCCACTTGTTACCGACTTATTTCGTACGTTTTCATTATGAATAAAATTTCACTGACATTTAATTTTTGGAGACGCGAAACAATGACCTATAATGCTTCAGGTATTGCTTTACGCCCGACTTCTCTACACCTCTTTTCCCCTCTAATGGTTAGCAACACGTACATTCTTCTATTAGTCTCCATGCTTGGCCTTCTGCCTTAAATATATCAATAGGATCAGAAAATAAACTCACAGCATCTCGCAAAATATAATCTTTTAATTTTATAAATTTACTTCATTCATTTCGTCAGCTATTACGTAAGTGGTATTTCAGAATGCGATAGCAACTGTTAGATGTGAACCTTCTTGCAATTCACGAGTATTCTAAGACGTATGCCAAGGCGAAGCAACCTTTCAAGTAGTAAAACAAACTAACAACAAAAACTTGCTGCAACGGCAAAAAAAGCCATACACATCTGAGCACAGCGATCGTTTGTGGCGCTGTTTCAAAATAGCTGCAAAAAAAAAAAAAGAAACGCATAGCACGTCAGCATTGGCTTTACAGCGCTCGCGTTTACATAAAGAAAAGCTTACGCTTAAGCGACGTCGACATCTTATTACCAGATAGTATCAGAGCATTTGTGTACTAAAATATTTGTTGATTGGGCCTCTAAACCACTGCTCATGGTTTTCGAAAAACAAAATAAATAACTTGCCTGGTCTGATGACATAACCTAAGAAGTACCACAGGCCATATTCTGCTCTGCCGCCGTTGTACCTGTGTTAGTAACGCCGGTAAACATGACGGAAATGACCCACTTTCGCTTTCAAAAGTCGCCACTTTCAGGTTACCTCCTGCTGTAATCGGTCTGCCAGCAGTTTACCTGGCTTTCTAATCCAAGAGATATAGCGTCGCATGCACAAGGAATGACGTAGTACTCCGAGTGCTAATCGTTGTCAAGCGAAGCTATTTGCGAACCAAGCCATATCACAGGTGACTGACCTAAAAGAAGCGATACCTTAATGAATGCTGCAAACGCTCAAAACTGAAGCACAAGCAGAGCACTCGGTGATGTATTTGGCTTTGGTGATTGCCCACTGGATCACACTGACACCATTTCGCACACTACTTAGGTCGGTTTCGAACAAGGTTTCACTCTGCATGTCACTGAAAGCGCGAGCTGCAATACTAACGATGATGGTCCGAACATCGGATGTACCCCGAAAAACGTAAAGATGGAGTGTCGCACGCGCAACTTAAGAACGAGGTACAATTCTGCAACATCGAAGCGCAAACTCGTCGCGCTATTTGCTACAAATCGGACGGGTGGCAACAATTTGAAGCGGGCTGAAATCCCACCTCTCCCGTACGTTTATGACTTTCAGTAGAAAATTATTTCATCGAATGGCTTTCATCGTACCGCTGTAGTCAATAACTACGGAGATGTCCCACGACCTCCGGTGGCTGTATCAGTCGCGCGGCGAAACAAAAAGCCACGGTTTACAAACGAAGTTTCTGTGCTCAAAACATCTTCGCGCCCCACTTGACCTATCGGTGCGCGAGGCACGCAGCACTGCGAGTCACTGCTCGTCTTCGGACTCGTGTACCTGAGCCACCAGGCTCAGGTCGGTCGTCTCGGTCGGCGGGGGTAACGTGTAGTTCTGAAGCTGCAATTCGAGCAGTTCGTCTTCGACCGGCAGCGGCAGGAAGGGCGGCCAGCTGCCCACTTGGGCGCTGAAAAAGGACCCGGGCACGTCGTGGCACCCGTAGTCGTAGTAGTCCAGCTCGAAGCCGTCCTCGGTGCCGCTCGTGCTGAGCTCGGACAGGGACGCGGCCAGCGCACGAGAACCGCAGTTGGCGACGCGGTCGGCGAGACCGAAAGCCCGCCGGTGGTTGTTGGGACCGTTGGATGCGCGTCCCGCGGCGTCGAGGGACTCGACCGAGTCCTCGGCGCCGTCTCCACTCGCCGCGAGGAGGTGCTTGAGCGGCCTCGGCTTGAGGGGAAGCCGGGGAGTGCACGTCCGGCTCTGCGGTTGTGGAGACACTGTGGCCACGGGAACACGCTTCTTGAGCTGCGCGGGTGAGACAGAAAGAGAGAGAGAGAGTGAAACGTTCAATAGTGAAAAAATAAAATGTTCTCAAAGTCGGACCATTTTAGTTCGGAAGACCATTCGCGTCTGAGCTCGACTAACCGGGTCCGTCTTCCACTCGACTATCATCGAATTATGTTCGACGGTTATTTCAGGAATCTCTTGACACGCCGAGACCATGGAGTATAGCGTGGCCATGAGTAAGTAAGGGCAGTGTTTTGTTATGAAGAATATGGCTGCGATTCACCTGCGAGCAGGAGGCATTCTTTCGCGGGTAACCTGAGTGTGTTTTTTCGAGATAAGAGCTTTTACATATGAACAGTAATAGCAGAGTCATTCGTTACTTTGATGTACTCGAACATTACGAAGCCGTGCACAAGGCGCACTCCCGCGCAAATTAAGACGACGTCAACACAAGCGCTGGTGTCTTTTTCACGCTCTTTTATGACTATATATCATGTCCGTGACATGGTCGTGACATCGACGATGGTAGCAGTCGATGGGTCCAAGGAGAAACTTTGTTAAGCCGAACTTGTGGCTGGGAAGTAAACTCAAGCTGCAGCAAGGTACGTACGCTGTACACTGATATCGGCAAACAGAGCATCAGCCGTCGATAAAACACCACCATGGTGGCCTAATGGCTAAGGCACTTGGCAGCTGAATCACAGGTCCTGGGATTGAATCCCAGCCAGGCGAAAATGCCCGAGGCTCACGCGCTTAGGTTTAGGCGCACGTTAAAGAAGTCCAGGTGGTCAAAATTTCTGGAGCCCTCCACTACAACCCTCTTAATTAATGGTAGTTTTGAAACGTTAAACCACAGCAAATATTATGACCAATATTGCTATTCTTATTTTTTATCGTAAATAAAACTGGTCATCGTCGGAACGCACCATCTTACATACACCACGCATTGATTTTTTTTTCAGCCTTATGATTGGTCGCGTCACACGGGCTCTGGAATATGATGGAATATTCGCGTCTTGCTCACAATTTTAACAAATAAAAGTTTATCCAATCCAATCCAATGACAATTTTAACAAAATAATCTACTACAATCGTCAAGCCTCACGACCACTAAAGGTGTGCCTTGCTTCGACAGTCTTCATAAAAGTAAACCAAATACAGCAAAAGTGAAACGGCAAACGAAGTGGCAATATGGCTTTACATATAAGGAAAATATATTTCGCAGAAGAATTGGTCTCGTAGGCGGTAATATAGCATGACTAATACCAGAGTCCTGGTAATATCAGACTCACCTGAAGGCCGCTTGCTATGCTAACTGATGGCGCTTCTCACTTGACTGAAGACACCTCGACGTACAAAAAGGAGACGCTCGTTTGATAACCTCAATTAAAAGTTGCTTTGAACAAGAAAGAACGTTGTTCTGCCTGTGAAACCGAACTTTCCTTCGTACAAGTATGTATAGAGAAGAGTTTGCCAGGTTCCTACTTTTGTTGATTTCCTTACGAATGAAACGCCACCGTTCTCTTTCTGCGTCTCTCTCTTTCTATACATGTGCATGTCAGAGAGAGAGAGAAACTGAACGGAAAGCTTGCTTCCAGCGATGTTTAGTGACTACGAGTTCCGATTTAGGCCTTCCGGAGCCTATGTGTATACATCCTGGCTGCACCTTACAAAAGTGAACACGCAATGCAAACAATCGTAATAGTAACCCAGCCATATCCTAATGAAATCGAACACCCAAAGGGCTTGACCCGGGATTCTTTCCTCCCTTATCGCACCACGTCTGTGAACGTCTCAAGGGTACAGACCCCTCGCGTTCTTTCCGGCACGTGGATAAGCCGTACGAGGATTGATCTGTCGTCTGAACACGCCATTTAGAGCTGGAATGCTTCATTACTCTAAAAGAAAGCTCTGAAGAAATAGTCAACCCACCACCGGGGTAGAGGTCACCGAGGCAGTACACACGGAGCCGACCGACTTGAACAGGCACGCCTGCTCCATGTAGTCCTCTGGACTCTCACCCGACGACTTGAGCGGAATAGACTCTGCAACGGGTGCAGCTTCACCCTCGTCCAGCATGTCGCCACCTTCCGCGGACACCTCCGAGATGGAGGTGAGCGAGCCCGCGGCCAGAAGACGCACCGTGGGCCGCGAGTCGAGGCCACCGTCCGAGCAGTAGGACTCGGAGGCTAGGCTACGCGCCTTAAGGCGGCGCGATAAGCAGCAGCGGCTCTTGTAGGCGACCGCCAGCAGGGACACGGTCAGCACCACGGCGCAGCCCAGAAACGCCAGCAGCGCGTGCACGGAGGAGTGGAACGGCGCCAGGCCGGAGTGGCGGGGGTAACGCGATGCCATGGAGGCCAAGGTCAAGTCTGCGAGTGAGGATGTCCAAGATGTTTATAACGTCTCTACAAACACGAGGTAATATACTTGGTACTTGAACAGCGCGAAAGGCAGGACCGAGAAATAGTCGTTCAGGTACCGTGCATTTCAACCAACTGTCCCTGTTTGCCATCCTACGTTAACAGTTGTAGCTAGTCTAGATCACTTGTTCAGAAGACCTCTTATGGCCAGTAAGGAGAAAGTTGTACACTACTACCGTAAGGTTAAGCGACACAAATAGCGACAGTATGGGAAAACACGAGCGCACATAATTAGCTATGTATACCTCAAGAGTGGAATGTTAGAATAGTTAGTTTTCAGACATCAATGTTATCGCACATAGTGCAGAAAAAGAAAGTCGAACACACAACTTCGTTTCCGTAGTCTATTCTAGAAGACGTTGTTGGGCTAGTCAGTAAATTTCATCAAGGAAATATATATCCTCGAGAGAAACGATAGAGAGAACAAAGAACGAAAGCGAGAGAGAAAGATAGAAAGGGAAGAGGAAGAAAGATAAAACGTTCGGAACAGAAAAAGAAATATATATGAGAGAAATGAACACATAGTAACAAAGAAAAGCAGAAAAAAAAACAGGAGAAGATGAAAAAAAAAAGAAATTGGCAATGCTTGAAGGGCCCCTAAACCACTCAGTTAAACCACTCAGTGGTCGAAATTTAGTTGAGCTGAGGAAGTTGTGGTGATGAGGAACATGTAGCTCTGAGAATTTTTTGAAACGGTGCCGTAATAGCGGAGTTACACATGTTTGATTATCAAAACGCGACGATCACTTCTTTCCCTCTTTCTTACGCTACCCTCTTCCAAAACCGCTTGTCCCCTCCTCGCTGAGTCAGCTGAGTGCCCCTCCTCATGTCGCGTGGCATACGTCACCGCTGACGTGCTGTTCGAGACAGCGTCTACTTCCGGTTGCCGCGATCCGTCACTGCGACGCCTCAGCTCGCCGTCAACTGTGTTGTGTGTGTCATCTGGGTGCACTGATCGTTGACTAACCGCTGTTGCTGTCGTGCAGGCCCGTGCCCCTACGCTAGCGACTTGGCGGTTGTGTTACGGGCCGCAGGTGTCGCTCCGCAAGCGGCAACACGACCAAGAACAGCAAGGTGCGCGTGAACAGCTGTTTGCAGAGTGACCGAAAGTCGTCTGTGTTCGTAATCGCAAGCATCACTTGCACTAGAATAGCACTAGAATACGCCGATATAATTTGGAGTCCACATCATAAATTTCTCATTAGTAAAATTGAGCGAGTGCAAAACTTAGCAGTTCGATTTGTGTTTTCCGATTACTCCAGGTATACCAGTGTTACTAATCTGCGTAAAAGAGCCGAACTTCATTGCCTTTCCGAACGGAGAATACATTCTAAACTTAAATTCCTGTATCTTCTTTATCATGGGAAATATACAATATCCAGATCAGACTATCTTCTTGAACCTTTCAGGCATTCCACGAGAACTAACCACAATAAGACAATACGACTGCCCACAAGTCACAACAACATTCCCAAAAACTGTTTTTCCGTCATCAATTGCATATTGGAATCAACTTCCATTAATAGCTGTGAACTGTGACACCGTAGAATCCTTTATTGAAAAGATTAAAACTATAAGTTTTGAACAATAGACGCAAATGTACAAATAGGGATTTATTGTGAGCAGTTTCTTTCCCTTTGACTGGTTTGACCTTTTAGCATGATTCTGAACGTTGCACTGTTGTTTTGGCTACTTTTTTCTTGGATTGTGTCGGTGCCTTTCTGTACGTGACATCATTGTTTGTATATCCTATGTACCACTCCTGCTTGGACCGAGAAGGTCTGCAGTATACTTAAATAAATAAAAAAAAGCATCAAAATTGGTTATGTCATCGAGTTTCACTGGTGATGTCACACATGTCAGTGGCAATAAGGGCGGGGACCGGAAAAGAGAAGCTATTTTTACGAAATTGTGGCCCGCCCGCTACCTGTAGCGCTGCGGCGGGTGGTGGATCGTGACGGCATTCTGCACGCGATGCGCTTGTTTACTTGAAATGTTTGGGAGAATATCGGAGGGGATTTAGGAGCCCTTTGATAAAACAACAAAAGCCAGGTCAACATATGTGCCCGTCAGCTCCCCTTTTCCTTGGGAAATGCGCCTTTTGTTCAAGCTACGCTAATTCTTCCCCCTCATTGTACCGATCAGTTATGCCGTTAGTTATGCTGTACCCGGCACATACTACAGCCCGGCTCATACCGCAGCAATATTAAGGGTAAGCACTGTACACCAGCACCAAGCGTGAACAATGCATTATCTACTCACTCGTTTCCCAGAATGCAATGCTGAAGCTCGCGACAGGCTGCACCGACACGTTACCAGCCGGATCCTGGACGGGCACATAATCGATGCGCACTGGGCCCGACAGGGAGGTGGCCTCGAGTAGAGTGTGTGTGCCGCCTTCGGAAGCGCTGGCGGCCAGCAGGACACCCAGAGGAGACGTGCCGTCGCGCACCGAAATCTCGCCCGCGTCCAGTTCGTCAACGGTCAAGCGGACAGAGACCAGCCTTCGCCGCGAGAACGGCTTGAACACCCACGACACGGAACGGTCCACGCACGGCGTCGTGCTGGAGAAGCGCACCGTGGCGCGCCGGATCACAGTCAGCGTGCAGCCGCAGATGCAGTAAGTCGACGGCAGCGGCGTGGTGGATGTCGCGTTTTCCGCCGACGGCGTCGTATCTGACGAGAGAAGGCAGTGAGAATATAATGCAAAAGAGCAGACTCGCGCTGCATCATAATAATTCACCTCTGAAAACGTTTCACCTGTGTACCACCGACGACGATGGCGAATAGCGTACGAAACAGATTTTTTTAAGATGCGAATCAGCTCTTTGACTAGTTTGTGTAACGCTGTCCCCCCGTCCGCACCGCGCTCCCCTGGCCGCAGGTGTTGGGGCGGTGCGAAGTAGGTCACGCCTTCTCTCGCAGCTCGAGCGCATTGACGTCACTCTTTCTCTAGTCTGTCACCGCTAGCCGCGTGTCATTCAAGTAGGTGTTAAAGAAAATTACTGGAGTGGCAGCTCCCGCAATGTTTTGCCAGCAGTAGTGAAGCTAGCTTTTGCCCTCCGAAGATCTCAGAAACCTGCTATTTTCTGGTGGTACCCACTTAGATATCAAGTGGCTTTGATTTGTTAGTCTAAAGGCTACGTTAATTATAAATTAAAAATAGTTGTTTTCGAAGAAATGATATGTAGAGACTAGTATCGGTGACTTAATCTTTTATAAAATTTGTCGTGAATTCGAGGGTTACAAAAGAAAACTAGTAACACAATGACGCACTTTGTGCACTATCTGACCCGAAAAGGTTGCCACGTTAAACTCTTTGGCGGTACGAGGAAAACGCTCCTTCTCAATCCCCAAACAACAACAGCTCATCGTGCCCCTAGTAAGATGGCTGCCGCAGCTGCCATCTTACCGTTGGCATGGCTTCACTCGCGGGCAAGAATTTTCACTTCAGCGATTTGTTAAACCTCCTTGGTGTCATCTCACTCGCTTCACCCTCCACCACTCGCAACGTTGGAGCGCACATCGAGTGAACAGTCTTTCTGCGATTAAACTTACAGGAAACCCAACCCGCCTACCGTGCTTTTGCGTTTCAAAAAAACGTTCACTGGAGTAAATGGTGCACCGAGTTTCACTTCAAACAGTTCTTGCTGCAGCTGCGTCAACACCCGTTTCTACCGCGTCAACTCCGTCCGCACCGCTGCTGCTTCGCATTCCATCAGGGTTCCCTTCTGGTATATGGTCCATAAATGCTTTATGTACAGAAACGATCCTATGAGGAATCGGTACATATGCAAGGGTAACGTTCCTAGAAATATTTCAACGGGGTTATCGCAGGGTGAACAGCTTATCCTGGTTTCAGCTTCCTATATCCGGAACAATGTCATATTTTGTCCTGAAATTTCGCGTTCTAGCACTAGAGAGCATGGCCTCCCCTCTGTTAAATTTTGACCCTGTAGCTTTTTTTCTTGCTTCTGATGGAGCAGCAGACTTCAGACTAGTGCACAAAATTCAATATGCGTTTTTTCCCAAAAACTTAAGACAGTAAAACAGTAATATTTGGCACGCTTCTTCAACATAATAATGGTATCAAACCTAACCTATAATATTGGCTTTTAAATAACCTAATCTAAAAATATTGGCTCTAAATATTGGCTCTGTTTATCTCAAGAAAACAAATATTGTTCTTAATGTTCATATTAATGCACCGCCTCTACCCAACGACACATGGCTACATGTGCCCGCTCTGCAGCGTACCAGACACTCTGGCACACTTGATCCTGGAATGCCAGTGCCATGCAAACCATGACGTGCAACTGGAGCGGGACCAAGATCGAAGAATAAATGATGGCCACCTAATCGAAACGTGGGAGGCAAAGCTCGTCCTCGAGGACCTGGAAGACCAGCGACAACTCGTCGCCAGGACCAAGAAGGCAGTCGAAGCCAGAGGGTTCCTGGACTACGGAACCCTCCCACCTTAGAGTGACACCGGGCCGCGCTCGGAACACTGTTTTCTAAATAAATGTTTCTTTCTCTCTCTCATAGTTGTCGCGTACCGCGAGCAAGGCTTTCCAATAATTTTTTCCTGAATTGTAACTGACAGTTTTACAACCTTTTAGCCTCAGAATACTTGTAAGAAATTTAGGTATAGTCTGACAAAATCTGAACATGATTGATCAGATAGTTTTGCAGGAAAGGTACATCAAATTGCGAAAGTTTTCAAAAAATTGATTGCTAGAAAAACGCGCTTTTATGTTTGAAAACGCCCGCGGTACGTGCTCACAATATAAAGCCAAAATTCCGTTAAAGACAAACTTTGAGGGAAAATTTGCGATGGGAAAGGTATGAAAATGGTAAAAAGTCAATGTGTTCAGCCGATTAGGCCAAAATTATTGTTACAAAAATGAATTCACGCAAGAAAGAATTACGGTAAAGAGCTCATGTATCCATTAGGAAGTGGTGTCATCTTTAAAAGGCTTGGAACATTCCAACGCGCTCGCAAACGAATAGACTTGCTCTTCTGAGGATGGATTATTTTTTAGCAAAGAAATAAACAGAAATCACCTTTTTGGCCGATTTACCCTACCACATATCCTTATATGTTTCAGAAAAACCTTCCAAACCTGCAACCGTACATGAAATGGGTACTTCGAACATGTGAACCCCGGACGCTGGGTGGTTACTCGCGTTTCCTTACAGCGTCCGTGGTATATGCAACGTATAAAGTCACCCGTACTGAGCGGTCATTTTATGCAGTGCGTGACTACCATAGTAAGAATATTGACCACAATATACTGCGTACATATACACCAAAAAGAAAGTATCCCATGCCACGTAAATTCTTTCCACAGGTATACAAGGGTTCCGATACGCTGACGCCGAGCGACAGCTGTACGTCGTGGTCATCTATATTGGGGTTACCTGCTTAATTATGAGGTGGCTTAAAGGGCCCCTAAACAACCATTGAAGATGTATAGAATGAACGAGCGCATTATTCCTTCCTGGTGTTTCCCGTCGTTCCGGCGCAATTAATGACTCCAGCAGCCTGCTCACGTGACACCATGCGAAAATAAGCTCTCGATTCAGCCACGTGCGAGCGATATCAGCTGTGAATCGCTTCCTACTATGCTTTGCAATGCAGTCGCATTCTGCTTCTGTCTTGTCTCGAACGACGATTACCATGCGAGACCGACTGATTTCACTGTTTTGTGCGCTTTCATCAGCGCAAGCGGTGATAAGTGTGTAGCTCAAAAGCGCATGATCTTGGTGGTCTAAACACCTAATGTTAACATTGTACTACTCATGCAGAAATGAGTGACGAGGAAACGATAGTGCCTGTAGTAAAGATAGCGAAGACGCGAAAGAAACCACTCCCTCGTCTATAAACTAGGAGTGGCTTAGGCCTCGGCCCCTCAAAGATGCAAGCATTATACAAGCACAGATCGTACCTGGGCAAGGATCTAGTTTGCAGGGCCTGGTATCGTAGGCGCTGCCGTAGCAGGTGCCATCCGGTCTGCCACAGAGCCTGTAACGCATCTGGCTTCCGCTGTTGCAGGACCCTGAGCAGGGACCCCAGTCAGACCAGTTGCCCCAGGAGGACGCCGAACCTATAGGCGAAGAGACGGATTTACGGTGCGCTCGGTGGGACTGCGGCAAGTCGAAAATCGGCGTTCCTCAATCTCGGCAACTTTAGAAGCTTGTGAAGAGACACTACGGCAATGAATTGATGCATTGTACGGTAAAGAGTAAATAAATTCGACTCCTTATGCCAATCGATGTCCTATGTTTGCTGCACCGATACCCCGGCACTGTAAATAAATAGCACATTCCTCGACACACTTTCCTCTTCATTTTTCTTCCGTCAATCTATTTATTCCTTGTTGAAACTCTATACAGCTTTCTCCGCACGTGCAAACCTAAAAAAAGTTGCGTCTAAACCACAAGAAAAAATACAAAAAATCGATCCTCGAAACATAGACGCCGACGTTACGTCAATACGCAAAAGATATTTCCTCCAAGCGTCTTCCGTGTCTTCTAGGTCTTGAATTTATAGCTTCATCTCATGCCATATACGCGCGGATATGTGAAATCCAAACGAACTTTGCAGTGCTGTTTAGATGAGGAAAGAGTTCCTATAAAAAAAGAAAAAAAAAACGTGAAGGCACCTGGCTGGCATGTGCGTCAATTTCTTCTTCAGGAGACGTACCATGAAACATCTGTCCTGTCCCAGTCCGTGAACTTCTTGCATACTATAGCATGCTCTATTTACCGAGGAAAAAAGCATAGTGGGTACAAATACAAGACGGGGCGACATGCAAGAAATCTATCGTCTACTGTGCTTATGATGCACTTAGAAACACAGCTGGCGAACGTTATTGATTCAGAGCACCCCAATTCAGCTTCCGTCATTGCGCACTGTGAATATCCGTCCGAGTGAAGCATCACAAACAGCGTATTTTCATCGAACAGAGGCACTGTACGTAGCATGGCATGCGAGACCTGGAGAATAACCGAACAGTCGGGGCTTACCGGACTCGAGCGACCAGGGCCGGCACTGTCTGAGCAGCTCGAAGACTGCGCCGTTCTGAGCCACGCTGACGTAGACGAAGCAGAACTGCGCGTACGCATCGTGAAACAGGTGGCAGCCGAGCGTGAGCGCGTGTTTGCCCCGCGGCAGCCTCTGCTCGAACAGGTAGCGCCACGGAGGAGAAGCGTGTGCCGGTAACCTGGCGGGACCCGGAAGACCGTACACCCGAACCTTGTCGCGATCCCTGCACGGTACAACGGGAACGTCAAGATGAACGTACGGAAGAGAAACACGCAGGCCTGGCGGTAATAGTACAAGAATTGTGTACGTTGTACATAGATTGGAACGCGAAAATTAAGGCTGTAAGTAATGCTCGTACCCTCGTTTCAATGGCGTCTTAAGTTCGTGGAACAGGCATGCAGGGCTGAGGCACACTCACCTTGTCCTCTGCCCTCCCATGGTACGTACGTGCTGAACAGGCATATTTTTATGTTCAACTCTGCACTCTTTAATATGAACCAGCTAGCCCAGCAACGTGTTCCTTCGGTCCTCAGTTCGTGAAATATAAACGACGCATTGTACACTCACACATTTACTTCCCAGCAAACATTACACCTTCAACGGCCAGATATGCAGTGAAACGATACGGTTATCACGCGCAGTTGCTCGTACACCCTTCGTTACTCCGAATAAGAATGATGTGCTTTTCGATCCGTGAGTACTACGCAGGCTTCTTTCGTTGGAATTCTGAACCAGTTAGGAGAGAACAGTGCTACAGAAAAGGCTTACTTGCTGCAGGTTGTTGGGTACCGGTATAGAACGTTGATTCCGTCGTGGCAGCTAGATATGGCTGCTTGTGCGACGTTGAGCATGTAGCGAGAACTCCACACTACCCGCACGGGCACGCTCTCGGACACCAGCGGCAGCTTCGGGTCGTCGGCGCAAGATAGCCTCACCTGCAACGGCAAACAGCCTCGTTAGCTCGCACCTCAACTATCAATGTTGAGAAATCAACGTGGCAGGAAGCGAAGCCATGGGAGCAGTTAACGTGCAGCCGACCCGCGGCGGCTGTTCAATGGACTGGAGGTTATAGGCATGTGCACGTGGGGGGCGCCCTCTCTCCGCAACCCAATGGTAGGTGCAAATTTAAGTCGCCCATACATTTACTCCCTCGAACGTCCTTTGTGCGCAACTGCGCAAAAACAACGGTATCACAGAAAGGAATAGACGGGACCAAGCGCTAAACTATACCGAACATGCGTTTATTTGTGGGAGCACGAATAAATACGCTTTCTCATATGAGAAGAGGCGGAGGGGGATTGAAAAAGCGCGTGGGGCCTACCGTATACATCGTACATTAGCTTATCTGCTTGTCTGTTAACGCTATTGAGGGTGAGCTGAAGCATGCTGATCCCACATCGTGCCTTTCGAAGGCTTCGTAGATTTCTCGAGCTCTGGAATCTTGACAACGGCGTATATGAGGCGCGCCTGCTGGAAATGGGGGCTTCACCCGCACCAACGCATCCTGTATTTTATCAATGCCAACCAGATGCACCCAATTTAGCCGATCACCACTCTCTCCTCTATCCATTTCCTGCTCATCGCCTAGCATTCGCGTGTGCTTTGCAGTCATGAGGGAGAGAACCCTTCATGCAGTGCCTCTAGACGGCAATCATATATATGAAGTAATTTTTGTACAGATTCGTGAAGCGGCGTCTTGCATTACTCTTGTTCGCCATACTAGTGGTCATGCTGTCTCTGTAAAAGATACGGTGTTTTGAGATAGCGTGACGCCGTTCGTGGCGCTATGCGGGCAGCCAATGGTGAAGCGTCATTGCAACGTTATATATATGCATGCGCTGCCCTGTGATGCGGTGGCGGCGTTGCTTCGAGCCACAAAGAAGGAGCAGCAAGGAACAAATCTTACAGACTTGCATATTGCAATCTTACATAATGCATATTGAAAACACTTCGAGTTGAAAACACTTCTATCGCATCTCTGGGGAAAAGCATTCGGAAGCATGTGTGACGCAAGCAGCACTATGCAGCGTCACATCACGACCACTCCGTGAACTAAGACTATACTTTGAGCCCTTCTTCCCCACCCTTTTTGTTGTAGAACCATACGCCCGCCTATGCTGGAAGCCCTATCTTTCGAAGCGGAAAGGTGGTGTAGAAGAGAGAATAAATTGAGAGAATTGCATGGATAAGTAAACGTGTATAAGAGAGGAATGGAATGTCATGCTTACTTACTGCATTTCTGCAAACCCTGAGGTAACACGTCTTACCACGTGTTCGCAAAGACGCAACCTGCAGAGCCACTGACGCACCATACAAGTTAACAAAATGTCCCGCCTCCTTTATAGTTTTTTTAAGTGACTGCGAACCACTGAACGCTTTGCGATGTGCGTCAGCGACGCTGCGAAACACGTCAAGTTGCAGCACATACCACTTTATAGGAAGTTAGAAAATAAGATAAGTACTAGGCCCGCCCGCAGCCATTTCTGTCTCACCCATGGAGAGAATTTGCAAAGACATTCCACCCATCCAATCAAGATTGCTTATTTCAAGTTTTTGTTGTCCTCTGTACGAACGCATATCAGCATGATTTTCCGAGACTTCAATTTCCTGCCAAATTCAATCAGATTCTGACGTCACTCTTTAGCTAAAGGTCGCGCTTTAGATTGGAGCGACGAACCTTTAGTTTGTAATATGCGTCATATTTACACTAGCACAGAAAAAGTAGCATTTCGAAAGGAAAACTGCTTCGGCACTACATTATTACATGGGTATTCGACAAGCGTGCAATGGTTCTGCGGCCGAGGTTTATATCTATGCCGATGAGGTTACCGACTGTAGAGACAGCCAGGCTAAAACCCACCAGCGGTAGGCTGGATGCCAGCGACCACCACAATGAAGCTGGTTCCCCACCTGGTAGTAGCCGGCCCTGTCGAAGGCATGACAGTCGAGGGTCACGTCGTGGCTTCGTAGTTCGGCCCAGCTTGCCAGAGGCTTCTGGTCGACCAGGGACTCCTGAAACCAGGACTGAGGCTCGCGGTGGGCGCCCCGGTACACCAGCGACACCACGAAGCCGTAGTCGTCCTGGTGCAGGGGAGCACAACGCAGACCCGGCAGCTCGAACGTCACCACCACGTCCGAGCCGTAAGTCTCCAGTAAAAGGGGCACGTGCGTCAGCACCTGGGGCCACCGAACTAGCGTGTCCCGTGTGGAACGTGCCAGAATGGTTTCCTGCGATAGGGTTGTGATGTACAGCACAGTACCCAACCATCACCGTTCTAAATAGAAATGCAGTAATGATTATCAGATGTACAGTGGTGATCAAAACTTTGCAGACCACGGAAGCACGTGTCAACCAGTACCGTGGCTCTGACGGTTGCCTGGGAAGTTGTTGTTGTTCTCCTATTGTTAGTGGCGCATACCCACTGTGGGGGATTGGCCAAGAATCGAGTGGTTTCAAAATTTACTGTTCAGATTTGGAATGATGGAAGTTTAACAGAAAGATTACCAATAGCCTAGGAAAGTGTGGTGCTTAATGTAATGCATACAAATATTTACATAAACGAATTTATTCTTAGAATGGAGCAATAATCTGACTTTATACATATATAGTTATGTGGACCTGTTAGGATAATAAAACTGGCTAATTAGTCAACCTATTAGTTTCATCAATATAGTCCCGGACGGCCGCGCATACTGTCGCATTAGAGAAACCAGAAATGGAAGCTCCAAAAGACAAAATGACAGACAGAGAAAAGTCCATACCAATACCACGTAAAGGTATTTCTAATAGGGTTTTTCGTAATGTGTTAAACGGCCTGCAGGTCAAAAAGAAATGGTCTATTGTTCCCATGGAGTTCATCACAGAATGCACACAGTGGCGAAGGTGCCTGAGCAGACCTGTGTTTATAGAAATTTAGATTTGGTACCCGGCAACGCAGCCTTGTGATAGCTACTTCTTGTTTACGAGTGCGGCAAAAGTCTCTTCACCAGGGATATAATAAATGGCGATATTGTGTAGAGTTTGTTAGTGCTTAACCTTTAAAGACTTGCATAAGCGTACGTTTGCGGAATCGAGCAGCAGTCACATAAGCGGATGATGGACAGAGCGGTAGAATTGGTTCGCTGATTGACGACTTAGCTAAGGAATCGGCTATTTCATTTAGAAACAAACCTTTATGTCCAGGCACCCAAACTAATCGTACTTTTCTCAAATGCACAGGTACTAGTGCACAGAACGCCTTTGTTACGTGATTATCAGCACCAACAGAAAGTGCCGCACAGAGAGATAGGGAATCTGTTATTATGACAGCTGATGTTATCGCTGTATCTAACTTACGTAAGGCGAGCTCCATTGCCAGAAACTCAGCCACAAAAACGGGTATGAAATCGGGTAGTCGAAAGGAATAAATCCAATTTAAAATCAGGCTGAAAATACCAACCCCCGACTTTTTGTCGTATTGCGATGTGTCTGTAGCAATAATAACGTTCGTTGTAATACGGCACAGGTGATCTTGTACTAAACCATCCAAAATATTATAGGGAAGCCACTTGGCATTATTAGGAAAAATGTCGTCGAATGGAATTTCCACCGGGGCTAAATTATCACGACTCGGCATGATGTCGCATATACGTACGTTTAGAGGCTCCAGTAAATTTTGCACAAATATAATTTGTGGCGTGTGAAATCGCGGCCATCTAGCAGCAAAAAAATTATTCCGGGGTGGAAATAAAGGCTGTTTCTGAATGTCGTAATGGCGATTCATAAATTCTTAAGAATGTCTGAACAGTCAGAAGGCGAATTCTACACGAAAGCGGAGGGACCCTCGATTTGAGATACAACACATTGTTGGCAACTGTTTTGGGAAGGCCAAGGCATAAGCGCAAAGCTTCTCTTTCCAGAAGAATTAGAGGCCGCAACTTGTAAGCTGGATCTCCAGAGAAAAGTGCACAACCAAATTCCAAAATGGGACGAACGTACATGCGATATATCATTACCAATGTGTCTCTTCTCATACCTATGCGATAGTTGCTTAGCCTACGTAATATGCCAATGGCACGCACACCTTTTCCGGCGATATATTCGATATGAGGTCGCCAGTTAAGCGATGTGTGATAAATTACTCCAAGGTATTTAACAGATTCCACCTGTGGTATATCCTCATGATGGTAAGACAGAGAGATGTTCACAGGGTATTGCAGCGGGAAAACAAGGAGGGCACATTTACTCGGATTAAGTAAAAAGTTGTTGCCATCAAGCCAGCTCTCCAATATATTAAGGTAAGTCTGCAGCCGTTCATATAAGGTCTGAATGTTATCTGCCATTGCAAAAAATGCGATATCGTCTGCATAAACATAAGTTGTTATATCCTGTTTACGTGGAATGGTGCTCATTAGTAAATTAAATAGCACCAGGGAAAGCACCGAGCCTTGCGGTACTCCCCTCGTTTGGGCATGAGTAGATGACGAAAACCCACCTTTAAAACAATAAAATTTCCTGTCTGCAAGAAAATTGTGAACCCACGCTACTATGTATGATGGAAAATCAAGGTATTCTAATGGATCTATCAAAATACAGTGCTCCACGGTATCATATGCTTTAGCGATGTCTAAGGTAACTAAAGCTGCATATTTTTTTATGTAGCCGAGCTAATTGAAGCCGACTCTCTAAATCAACGTGGGCATCCCAAATTGAACAACCAGCCCTGAACCCAATTTGACAGGGACTTAGAATTGACCTCATGGTAATAAGTTCAATAATTCGTATATTGATGATTCTCTCAACCAATTTCACTAAGTTTGATGTCAGTGCGATCGGCCTTATGTTATCCAACGTGTATGCATCATTTTCATTTTTTAGCAACAATAACATTTTGGCAAGTTTCCATTCTGGAGGTATCCATGCGTTCCCTAACGAATAATTCACTAGTTCTAGCAAAAGATTAGGCGATTCCTGGAGTAAACATTTCAACATAGAGTTCGTAATCCCATCTGGTCCGGGAGCCGTCCTTGGTAAGCATAATACTATCTGATTCAATTAAGCTAAAGAAACTTCTGGAAATTCATGCAAGTTTACCAGAACGGACTGAATAGCCAAAAAACTAGCAGTGAACCGGCGTTCTAGACACTTCCGGCGTCAAGACACATGACTGCAACGTTAAAGGTGCTGGCAGTACTTTTCTTGTCCGAAGATAAGCGAACAAAGCACGCTTATTTTTAGATTTAGAAAGATAATCAAAATGTCTACTGTCGTATTCTTCTTTCGCGCGGTTCACTGTACGCTTAAATACGCCAGCAAGGAATTGATAGTCCTTCCAGTTTGTTGGGCTCTGATTAAGAAGAAGTTTTTTCCAAGCGGCTTTTCGTCTTCTATAATCGCGCGTACACTCATCATTCCACCAACGAGAGGAGGATCGCTTATTGGATGGAATAGAAAATTCGGAATTTTTTCTAGATCCCTCCAGCATTGAACCAATCGTAGATGCAATCTCCTTAGTACTGGCATTTTCAAGCTTGGAAATGACGGCTCTGACGGTTGCCTGCAAAGCTCGAGATCGTGCATACGTGCATCATGTTTTACGTACCAGCCTGCTCCTTCGCTCTCTTCAACAACACGCGCACCGGAACACCAGTAGAACCGTAAGGTGTCACTCCTGCTGTCAACGCGGAAACGCCAAGTGATATGGTATTGTGATGGAAAGACGTAATTTGTACTGGCAGTGCTCGGTGCGTGCCACATTCTACGCTTTAGTCCCAGACCATTCCACAGAACACAGCCAAAAACTTCAGCGCGCATGTCTTCCACGAACGAAAGCTTTTTAGTAACCTTATTATACAGGTCAATTTTCGAAAAACTAACGCTGCATGCATGTTTGCGGCGCAGCGGAGCGTCTGGGACAAGGCGAAGAATATGGGTGGGGGGGGAGTGATTCTTAAATGTAAAGAAGATAAAAGTGAGCCCCGTAAGTGTCTCTCAGGGGGAGGACACCTCTACAGCAACTCATGAAGGATGGAGGTAATGAGGGATCAAAAGGATTGGGAGGAATTAAAGGTATAGGGATAGAGAGAGGAGCAGGAAGAGAAAGAGGCGCAGGGACAGCCACATACGGAAGTAAGGATGAAATAGAAAAGATAGTCACGGTCGCAAAAGTCCGAGGACGGGGCACCACTCGGCGAGAGCTCTTGTCGGTGTCCGGAGATGGTGTAAGGCGAGCCAGTCGGCCAGAGCTGCGCTGTCGTCGGAGATCGCGGGGGCACAACCGGGCGGCACGAAATCCAGCGAGCGAGTCCTCAAGGCACAGAATGTGACGCTCACTGCCAGTACAAATTACGTATTTTCGTGACGATATCATCGCTGGGTGCTTCCGCGGTAACAGCAGGAGCGACACCTTGTGCTCCTTCTGGAGTTCCGCTGTGCGCGCTGTTGAAGATGATGGACGAGCAGGCTGGCAGGTAAGAAAGGATGCGCGTGCGCAGTGCGCGCTCTCGAGCTTCGCAAGCAGCCGTCAGAGGGCGCCGCGGTGCTGTTTGACACGCGCTCCCGTGGTCCGCAATATTTTGACCGCAACTGTACACTTCAAAGATAAAGCTTCGAGCACGGTCTTTGCACCATTTCTGCTTAGTTCCCTCAAATGAGAGTGTGCATATTAGTGACAGACATATAACTCAACAAAATTTAATTTAAACCGAGAACACACGTGTATATTGATTATAGTGGCTGCTGTGTGCATGGAATTACGTTGTTTTTTTTTTTTTTGGAAATAAACACAGCTAACGAAGATACAATCACAGAGAAGCGTCTCCCGCTGTGCCCGCTTATTATGCACCTGCGCTTTCAACTCTTCGCAATGAAAAAGTGAATAATAATCTTATACTATTCTGACCTTCGATGCAGAAAACATCCAATGCGTCGGTTTGACTTCGAAGGCAACGCGTACACCAACCCCCTATCATTACTGTAAGTTGTGCGTTGCGGTGTTTCAGTGCTGACCCTAAAGTTTCGAATTTGATCCCGGCCACGACCATCGCATTTAAATGGAGGCGAATTCGCTGGACGCACCCGTACTGCGCAACGCCAGTGCACGCCCCTCAGATGTTGGAAGTCATGAAGAATCCTCCCTTATGGCAGTCTCTTTTAGCCGGTGTCGCTTCGGGACGTAAATCGCGTAAGCCCACCAACTAGTACTTACGCAGAAATGTTGTTGATCACGGTACTTGAGAAGTTGACTTCTACCATCGTAGCTGCTAATTAATTTTTCAACTGCTATCTCTTTCTCAATCTCTCCCTGCCTTAAAACACAGTCTACCGAATCTAGCCAAACAGCTTCCGTGGTTTCCCGTAACAAGTCATCATCTGCACCCGACCAGTGCTTCGGGGTACGTCGTTGAAATCTCAGTATCCTCAGCTTCACGGGCACCGCGAATCCAGGAGAGTCAACCCCTAATTTTCTCGCCATACGTTCTCCCCCTCATCATCTCGACTGTGCTGAGACTCAAACTTTTCTCCCTCCCAGAGGGGACCAAGTTCCTTTTGTCTGACGCCAGAATAAAAACGGTCCCTCGAGGCAGTGCAGCGTCATGCAACGAGGGTCGTCAGCCGCAGCCGCGCGGTCAAAGTCTCGCGAGGCGGGTTCCTCGGCCTTGATGAATGACCACCAGGGCGCGCGCCTGTGTTCCATGGTTCGGGGTGCGCTTTTACGAGTCCCCCCTGGATTGGCCCGCACCTCTTATCAACGTCAGCGCCAAGAGCGGTGGTCCGCTGCTTCCTAGAAGCACGGCGCGCGCGCGGGAGACCGCGGCGTGCCTAGTTTACCTTTACCGCGGCACCACAGCGCGCGACGATCGATGAGCCACTCGTCGCGAGTGTTGCGTATTAACTGTGCCTGCATGCAGCGCACCAGATTCGCTTACTGCACCCGCGTGCCGCATATAAGGTCTGGTGAGATGACCTTCAGATCATTTGGCGGCTGTCCGCGCAAATTACTTTTGGATTGCATTGCCCTCTTTTGACCTTCCCGGTTATGTACACTGAAGGTATGCCGCCTCTTAATCGAGCACCCTCAGAGAGATTCAGCTTATAGTTCGGCCTGTGCGTTACGTGAGCTATTGAACGCTATGCGACATTAGTTTTATAATTACCGTAAAAGTGATCTGTGGCAACATGGTTCCACACGAAAAAAAATGGCTCATATATGACGCGATTACTAACACTAACACGTACACGATATGGTTAATTTCTTCTGTTACTTTCTTCTGTCTTTCTGAACATTATGTTAACTTTTTTTTACGCTAGCAATAAAAAAACTTGTATTTTAACGTCGGTTGTAACGTAACGTCGGTTGTAATCCGAGTTTATGCAGAATAACCTTCGAAGGGTCTATAAAAAGTACCGCAACCGAATGATCGTTAAGAACAAAACGTGACAAGCTATAGCTTCAGCTCAGTCGCCACTGTGTTATGTGATGCGAGCGCAAAGATACAATGCTATACTCGAAAAAAAAAAATCTTGAACGAACGAAGAGAGCACAGGAGGAACGAAGTCTGCTACAGTAAATGAGTGTCACTATCTCGTTAAGCTTGATTACAATATAACATGTCTAAAAGGGTCAGTAAGACACCACGCGTGCGCGTCACTTCTCTAGTGGCGTGGTTTCCTCCCGCGGTATAGCGCGCAGTCTCGTTCTCAAGCTCGGACGTTGTCTATAAGCAGTCAGTTATGCCTGTTGGGCATCTGTTTGTGAAATGATAGACTTAACGGCGTATGGATTCTCTGTAAACATAGACGAACAATTTCTGCACGGTGATTAAAGTGTTCGTTTTCTTTTCTGCAAGTGAATCTGTTCACGTAAGAAAGAAATTGCAATTTCGCTTCGAAATTGGAAAAAAAAAATGAAGCAATTATGTGAGCAAAACAGGAATTTGCGGCAATATGGATGCTTGCAGCGATGAGAAGGCAAACGGGGGAATGTCCCTGGAGCGATGTGACTTATACACCCAGAGAGAAACTGCTTTGCTGAACAGAGCAATCGCTACTCTGGCGAAAACAATCACCGAAATATTGGACTTCAACGAACTTTTTTGCTTGACGATAATAGCGATAGCTTGGGTTTTACGCGCCCAAACGATGGTGTGACTATCAGGCACGCCGAAGTAAGTGACATCGGATAGCTTCAGCGATCTGGTATTACTTATTTGTATTATTCAACGTGTACTAAAAGCCCACAGTATCCGGACGTCCAGTATTTCGCCGCTATCGAAATACGGCCACCACGGCCGGGAACGAACCGCGACCTTCGGACCAGCATAAAGCAGCTACTCAACCACGACGGCGAATGTCTCACCTACAACACGCTGCGATGCCAACTCCGGATGGTTTCGAACCAACTGGACTCTAGACCATTCTGAGTGCAAAAGATGCTGGGACCTTGGGCGTCTGCCTCAATTGCGCAGAAAGCGACTAAAGTGCTCCTACATCACTTGAAGACAACAAACCTGAGCGACCGCCTGTATAGACTGCGTGTGCTCCCCCGAGTGTGCTCGTGATTGTGTGTACCTTTCTCCTCTCTCTCCAACCTCTTTTCTCCCCTTCATCCCTTCCCCAGTGCAGGGTAGCAAACATGACGTGCGCGTGCTTAACCTCCCTGGCTTTCCTTGCATCTTTATGTCTCCCTCTCTCACCTGACAACAGGTCATATCAGAATAAATTGCAGTACCAGTTGCTGGATCACCGCAGTGTGCCGCGCCTATTAATTAAGACAATGTATGTGGCACGCTTTGCACCCTCACCTCTTATGTGAACACAGGGCAGGGCCTGCCCCCTCTCCCACTCCTGGTGCGCACACCGATTGCTACTTTTGAGGAGGACAAGAATGAGAAGTAAGTGCATGGCAGTACGGGCGCTGATTCCACTGAGAAAGACTCCTCGTCGCGCGATAATACGTCGTCACACTATCAAGGAAGTATATCTCCAGCTCCGGCTCGACAAGCGTCTTTACCCTCCCCCTCATCCATCACTCACTGCGCTCGAGGCTCGAACTCTACGGCACATCCAAACGAACTGCCTGATAACCCGCTCTCACCTTTTTCTTTATAAATATAGGTCTAACCTCTGCTGTCCTAATTGCCCCTCCCCACATGCCAACCTGTCACACTGCCTGTTTTACTGCCCAACTGCTCGGCAATCCAGCTATTACCCTCCCCCATTTCTTTCCATTACCTCCCGGCTCGACTGGATCGGCGCCGAAGGGAAAGAAGAACAGCGTCGACTGATCGCACATGCGGTCGAAATGCTCGGCCTGTAAAGTTGGCCGAATAAAAAGTCTATCACTACGACTACGTTGTCAACGCCGGCGCACGCGCGCACACTCACCCCGTCAGCAGCGACAAGCGCGAAGCTGTAATTTCCGGCGCGGTGCACGAGTCCGCAGGCGAACACCACGCGCCCCGTGGAACCTCGGCGGGGCAGGTCGGTCTTGGCGAGCACCGTGCCGTCCCGAGTGTCGGCCACGTGCGCCGTGAGCCCGCCAGCTGGACCGCTGCCGGCGGCGCCGCGTACCTCGGGAAGCCCGTACTCGACGCTCAGGTCGCCCGACAGCGACACGTACTGCTCGGGACCGCGCACCCAGTAGATGTAGCCGCCGCCTTCTTCCGGAGGTGGCGGCTGGCTGAGTGCCGCCTTGCTCGCTGCGAGTGGGAAGAAAAAAAAACGATATTAACATGGTGGTGAAATCGCTCTTATCCGGGTTAGTTAGTTGGTTGGTGGCTGATCAAAGAAGCTTACAGGATGTGATCAAAAGTAGAGAGAACAATATGAGGGAAAGGCAGGGAGGTTAACAGGAAAATGGAGCATCCGATTTGCTACCCTGCACTAGAGGAAGGGGGATTGGATTGGATTGGATAAACTTTTATTTGGTCATCCAAAACACAGATCACTGTGATGCGGGCAGCTCCCACGTGGGGACTGAGATGCCAAGCTCCTCAGCCGCCTCGCGGGCTTGGTGGACAGCCCAGAGCTGATCTGCCAAGGACGAGCTGCGGATTGCCGCCTCCCATCTGGCAGAGGTGATGTGCGATAAATGAGCGAATTTGGTGCACTGCCAGAGCATGTGTTCTAATGAAGCTATTTCCCCACAATGTGGACAAAGATTACTTGGGTATAGGTCAGGGTACATGATGTGTAACATTTTCAAAGTAGGGTACATCCGCGTTTGCAAAAGCCTTAATGTAAGTGCTTGGGGCCGGGTTAGATTTAGGGGAAGGGGGAATGGGGAAGAAAGATGGGAAAGAAAGTGAAGAGGGAAATAGACGCGCGCGAGAAAAAAAAAGGAGGGGGGGGGGGAGCTGGGGTGCTACAGTCTATACAATAGGCCGCTGCCACGCAAAAAGTTCAGTAAGGCCTTCACTGATTTTCTGTGAGCACACAAATCATGTCGCCCTTCTAGCACTAATTGTTCAGACAAAGGTCTGTCGTCAAGGCGAGCTAACGCAGCAGCTAGTCGCCGTCTTTGCACGCTGTAACGAGGACAGTGACGGAGAACGTGCTCTATAGTTTCATCAAGAACTCTCATATTTAACGTACCTGCCTCATAAAGCACTTGTCTCTTTAACGCGGTTAAATTTAACGTGTTTGCCTAATACCACACTGCTGGAAATAAGTTTGACTTAGATGACTTTCTTGATTGTAAGACTATTAATATATCAATGCGGATCATTGCTTGTGACGCCTGTGTGATTCCTTGCTCAGTATAGTGTATAGCTGGTTTTTCCTTGACAGTGCAAAACGTTCTTTGGTGCTGTCGTTGTATGAGTGTGATGTGATAGATGATTGTGGTTTTGAGTATATATGTATATATTCATGCACGTTCCCGAATAAACATGGTTTAAATTTCAGCGCTGGTCCTGTGTATACGCCTCTTTCTTAGGTCTGCACTATACACTATGCACTATTTATGCACTATACACTCATTTGGAGCACCGTGACCACTATGCCCCCACGGGGGCTTCTCACTCCAATGTCTACTGTCTACAGCTTGGAGCCAAAGGTTCAGGAATGCTTTGCTTGCGTTAGACGGCAGCTATAATGCGAGCAGAGAACGCAAATTTCGTCCATAGCGCAGGCATCCGAACGGCGCATACCATGTTATATAAGGTATTCCCCTTACTTATAAAATCGCCAGTGTTCATGTTCGCGCACAACGTGAGCGCAATTGAAAACGGTTCAACTTTCATGATATTGATCTCAGGATGCTGCGAGCACACATACGCAACCCCCCTTACTTGAGCGTTAAATGAAATGGACATGTCTGCTCTGGTGTGCTTAAAGGCTACTGCATCTGTAGCTCACATAAGGTGACAGGTACACTTAAAGACAACTGCTCAAAACTCGAATTGAGGTAAACCTCCTAACGGAAAGACCGTATACGTCACATTGGCTTAAGCGAGCACCGCTTTTCTCATTAGAGACGCGGTATTTATAGCTTTATTCTCTAAAGTCACTCTTGATGCCTCAATCGGAAAAAAAATCGATAATTCCGATGGGAGCCTTCACGTGACCTTTTACATGATGTACGTGTTTAATGCTCTCTAACAGTGTTGGAATTACAGTACACCTTTTTATTATATTCTTTACCAAATCTAAAATATGCCCATGCACCTTCCTGTCTAGCGAGCAGAGCAGTGCCGCAGCCTTCGCTAGACCTTGGATCTTTATAGATCATGAACGGCAGCACGTAGCCTCCGCAATCAGCACCGGCCACGTCGGTAATCGCAGAGGCCACGGGCAGCATGAAAGTTAACTGAGAGACCAGCGCCACGTGTGTTCTAGTTGGGGAATTACAACGGGCGCTTGGCCCGAAAGTCGGTAAAGGAATTTCGCGTGACGACGAGCTCTCTAAAACTTTTTCTTCGGGCTTTCTAGACTAAAATAAAAAAAATGAAAATGGCAGAATGGAGATAGTTAACCGCAGTTACACTTCACTCGAGTGAAAGTAGCACGTTGAGTGTAATAAGCAGTTTACGAGGAAAGCCACTGGAATTGCCATAAATTCTCAGCGTTTCTAGAGGAGGCAGTCGTAAATTTCAGCGGCTTGTCAGATCGAAATATTATTCTTACAAGAAATTCACGTGGTTTTTGGAATCAAGCGCTCCAGGTTTAACCCTCACTGAGAGAGGAGCTTTTCGTTGCAACGTAAAAGAAAAAAAAAAACTGAGAAACTTGGTCGAAAAAAATTGATTGTCAAATCGTTTTTAAAGAATAACGATCGCATCGGAGTGTATGCTCAGATAAGGGCCACATGGCACAGCCAGTTGAAAATGAACGTCAAGAGGCCAGTGAAGTGTTGAACGAGTACGAAAAAACATTAAGACATGCAACTACACATTATGCATCGATAAAGCAGCGGAAAAATGGTTGATAGCACGCTAAAGTGAAAACGAAGTAATAGCAGGCATTACCACAGCCAGAGGCTCGAGATTGAAATCGTATGTAGAGGCGGAATCTGCGGGATCAAAGTAGCCGCACTTCTACACTGTTACGCACCTGCGCCGCAACGAGCAGTGGAGGGGCAATCAATAACTTGTGACGTAATTGCACACCTATAGGTTTCGACATCGCGGTTCTCAGAAGCAGATGCCGCATAGGCACAGCCACGTTGCTGATGAAACGTTCGCGAGGGGGCGTTTCCGAGCACTGGGTGCGGCACCCAAGAGATGCATGCACTCCCGCCCACGCTGCTTTGATGTATGCCGATTTGTAGCGCTCGCCACTTCCCGAAGATCTGGCCGCGTACGTCCTCTTAGTGCGTAACTGTGGTACTGTATCAGAATCTGTGACGCCTGAAACGTAGTACGTAGGTTCACTGTACACAGAGAGAGAGAGAAAGAGAGATAGTATGAAGGTAAGGAGGTTAACCAAAAAGCAAGTGTCTGGTTCGCTACCCTGCACTTGGGAAGGGAAAATGGGAGACAGAAAAGTAAGGAAAAGGGAATGAGAGAAAGAGAGCGGGACGAAAGCCATGCACACTTATGTTTGGAAAGCTTCCATGCGCGACTCCTTGTATAGAGCGAAAGAGAGGGCGAGAATGTATAACGGCAGGAAGGTAAACCAGGCCATGCCCGGCTAGCTAAACTGGACGGAGGGACGAGGACAGAAATATGAAAGGACGCACGTTTTTCACGAACACACTGGTAGCTTTGCATATCGCACCAAAGAAGGTGCGATAAATGTGTGCGCTGTTATGCTCCAAAATCACGGCTAGCAAAGTACGTTAGAGCGAACCACAGGAGCGAAGCCAGAAATTTTTCGCGGGGTTCCATTAACTTTTATGTACGTTCGCGCGTGTGTCTGTATGTGTGCGTGTATGCACGCATACATACAAGTTAGAAGTACCTCGCTGTTGCCTTTTTTTTCTCATCCTATAAATGCTAAAAAAAAGCAATGTCGTAAGCACTTTCGATTTTTGGAACTATACGCATTACAAAATGACAATGCGGAAGAAATATACTCTACAAATTGAGGTAGCAAATGCACCGTCATGAGCCGGGAACTGTCAGCTGTGACAGCACCTATAGACACAACCCAAGCACTATCGAATTTCCAACCCGCGACACAAAAGAATGCCTTTCCGAACACCGAGTTGGCGTTGCCTGGTTACAATCCGCGCGCTTAAAACTATGTGGCGGCGCCGGGGTGAACCCCGAGGAATCAATAATAGAAACGGACCCTGCCAGCGTAATATCCTATGCTGCGGCAGATGGCAATCGCATCGCGCGTGCCACGTGTGCGAGCACTATCACGTGACTGAGCCAGTGGCTCAGAGGCCGCCAACCGGCACACGCAAGGGTCTTATGGGGCTCTGTAGTTGAGGTCATACGTGACGTCATGCAGAGTTCTTTGTCGAAACAAAACAGTGCACGGAAACATTGAAGAAACGACTGTCGACGGAGACGTTGTATAATACGCCTAAAGCAGAGCTCTTAAATCTTATAGAGCCTCACTTTAATATTAAAAAAAATCTTAAAGAGCCTCACTCCCCCCCCCCTTTTTTTTTCATAAATGACACCTATGTGTGTTTCTGTCATGACTGAGAGAGAGAGAGAGAGAGAGAGAGAGAGAATAAAATGAGGGAAAGGCAGGGAGGTTAATCAGAAATTGGAGCATATGGTTTGCTACCCTGCACTAAGGGAAGGGAGAATGAGGAAGAAATATGGGAAAGAAAGCGAAGAGCGAAATAGACGCGCGAAAACGGAAAAAATTCGGCAGATCCCACGTACCTGGGAATCGGCGTTATGCGAAGCATGCGCAGGGAAGGTGACCGTGTTGCAGTTTTTTTATTGAGTGACACGTCATTAAATGACGCTAAATATATGTACAGATGTTGCGCGCACGCACATATGTTGAAGGGTTGCAGATGCTTATATAACCAGCACTTGCGGAAAGGTGCCACCTGGAACGTGCGCATTAGCAACACCAGAAGCTGATATGAACCGCTGATGCTCGCGAGGGTGCGAGGCCTGAACAGCGCTACGTTAATCAACTTCAGCGCACGGCACCTAGTCACAATGGATGTTAACCCGACGTGACGGCTGTATCAAAGGAGTTCACATGTAATGTTTTGCCCGTGTGCTCAGATTTCGGTGCACGTTAAAGAACCCCAGGTGGTCAAATTTCCGGAGCCCTCCACTAC